CTCTCTCTCTCTCTCTCTCTCTCTCTCTCTCTCTCTCTCTCTCTCTCTCTCTCTCTCTCTCTCTCCTATATGCATCCACAACGTTCCGACATATAACACCGCGATCGATCCTTGAAACGACCATAGTGTGCATACAGAACACTGCTGTGTAGAGAGAGAGGGAGACAGAGAGGGGGGGAGAGAGAGGATGGAGGGAGAGCGAGAGAGGTGAAATGTTCCCGGCATGTTCCTTGCAAGCATTGATATCCATGCCAAGCACGTGTGCGTTTGTGTGGATGGATCGTACATCTCGTTTTCGTTTTCTCTCCTCAAGCAAACATTACTGCTTCTATACACCTGCAGCACACGGCAACTCCGAGCGTTGGGTCCACCACCCAGAGAGTATATCCGCCTAATTGTAGTGATCGTAACCCTTGCGTGCCTGCTTGGACAAAAACTACATATCACAACGGACGTACACCTTCATGGGGTTCATCTCTAGGTGAAACCGGCGACCACAACAGGCAACCATTAATACCTAAGGTGGTGGTGCACACCAGGAAGAGGCCCGCCTTGGATGTCATACCACGCTGCCTCGTGCTGCCGCTGGAGCGTGTGCTAATGTATGCATCCATCCTGGGGTTCGATTTGTCGAGGTTTTATTGATCTTGAAGTGTCGTTTTCCATCAGGGGAAGCGAGGAGTACTGGAGGGGGGGGGGGTAGGGGGGGCCGTGGCATATGCTCGGTGTCAGCGGCTACAGCACTCGACTACAGCGCTACAGCAGGCACGGGGTGCAGCGGTAGTGCTCCGGTTGCTTGCGAGAGAGGGGCATTTTCAACACATTCTTCGGTTCTCCTATCAACAGTTCCAGCCCCTCCTCGGGCAGTGCTGTAGGCGTCCAAAACAAGCATCCAGGTCCTGGCAGTTTGTACTGACGAGCGCTTGCACGACACTGAGCCTGCCTGAAGCTGGGTTGTTGCATCAAGTACATTCACCGTCTGCCATATGGTGGACTACTCTCGGTNGGGGGGGGGGGGGGGGGGGGGGGGGGGGGGGGGGGGGGGGGGGGGGGGGGGGTAGGGGGTGCCGTGGCATATGCTCGGTGTCAGCGGCTACAGCACTCGACTACAGCGCTACAGCAGGCACGGGGTGCAGCGGTAGTGCTCCGGTTGCTTGCGAGAGAGGGGCATTTTCAACACATTCTTCGGTTCTCCTATCAACAGTTCCAGCCCCTCCTCGGGCAGTGCTGTAGGCGTCCAAAACAAGCATCCAGGTCCTGGCAGTTTGTACTGACGAGCGCTTGCACGACACTGAGCCTGCCTGAAGCTGGGTTGTTGCATCAAGTACATTCACCGTCTGCCATATGGTGGACTACTCTCGGTTCGACCACATCGGTTCAGACTCGGACGATGATGGTGCTGCGGTCGGTTCGTCCAAGCCGACAGCAATGAGACCAGACGCGGCTGCACAGGAGGAGGCCATTAGAGCAAGTAGCAGCAGCTCGTTGCCGTCTGGATCAGCCGCGGAGGGGGGTAGAAATAGCAGCGGCAGCGGGGGAGGGCCTGGAGGAGGGGAAGGAGGAAGCAGGGCTTCTGTTCCTCAGCCCAAGATGATGACAGCGTCGAAGAAGGGGAAAGAAGGCCGCATTAAATTCGAGCACGAAGGTGTGCCCTTGCTATTCTTTCCCCAACACCATGAGGTGTGTCTCGTATTAATTGCTACCACCTTGGAGCTGCCTGCTGTGAAAGAGGCAATCGTCCTGTGGATCTTGTTGTCATCTGGTGTGCTATCTATATCCATAGGTGTAGAGCGTAAACGACTGCCGGAGTATTTCGGCATTGGGCGAACAAGGTGCTGTACACAGTAGAAACCTTCATCGGGAGCACCTAGCGTATGTTTAGCTAGACGAAGCCTTGGTTCGCAAGGAAGCACTGCGATTGATGAACGTAATCCCGCTCCCGCCTGCTACTACACTTTCAGGCAGGACCGTGTACGAGTGGGAACAGTCCCTGGAAGAGGTGAATCTGTACATAGAAACCCCGCCAGGAGTGAAGGCGGATCGGATCGAGTGCACGATTACTCCGAGACACATCTGCTTGGGATTGAAGGGGAACCCCCCGTTCATTGACGTGAGATGATATGTTGACCGTACAACGCAGTTTTGTGTAACGTTCGGTGGATGTGTTGCCGGAGCGACGGTGCCCCGTTACTCCTACCCCCCCCGCCCCCCCCACATCCTGTTCGTGTCGACATCACCTGGCCACATTGTTAGTCGCACGCCATTAAGTACAGGGAGAAAATCATCTCGATTAGGCATACTATATCCCTCCTGAAAAGCGGTTCGACGTTGTGTATCTTTATATGGTGTACCACATGTGCGGGCGAACACACAAAGGGTGTGATCATTTTTTAAGTTTCGTTTGCTCCTTGTGAATGCGGAACGAAAGAGCTTCCAAAACAATCGATCCCGTATCTGCTGTGCGTTCGTCCGCACTCGTAAGCCGTTATTGGCACTCAAGCAGCTGCCTGCTTCTTTGACCGAAAGCACAACGACTCACGCCTTGTCTCCTCTGAAAACCGAAATCTCTCGGACCGCCGCGATATGTACGACTGGCTCGGTTGGACGTGGATTTGCAGGAAGACACAGGCGGACCTGTGGTGGTGGAAGAGAGCTACTGGATGATGGGTGAGTCCGTGCGTTCGGGTGCCCGTCAGGAAGTGCGCAACGTTCTGCCGGTGATAGCGCCGCAAAGCGCTTCCAACACGTAGCGAGAAGTTGCATGCGGGGAAGAGGGAGCTTCTGCATCGTCTGTCGCTGTGCTGGCCGCCGTTTGTACACTTTGCATACCCAACCCTTACGTTATGTGCTCATGTTTGGGGTGAAGCCCGCTGCAAGCCACGCGCCCGCGGCCTTTCCCGGACGAACGAACGCACAGCAGGAGGCGCGATCGATATTTTTGGGCTCGATTATTCCACAACCACAAGGAGGCTGCCAGCACCGAAAAGGGTGGTTCTGGAAAGATCCTGTCGAGAGCTTTCCTTGCCTGTGTCGGTAGGGTTTCGATGTCACCCTCTTGGTTGTGGAGCAATCAAGTGATAATCACTCCATTGCTGGTGCGGATTGGACAGCAGCAGAACTCCCGCTGAACGCATGGCCTTTGCGTGTCTTGACCCTGGAGTGGTCCCGCTAATTCGGTTGGGCGGCCAACTCCACCGCGCTCTTGCATCACGTTGTCACGTCCGTGTGTGGCTGCGTACGCCTGCAGACGGAGGGGAGCTGAACGTGAACCTGCAGAAGATGAAGAAGGCGGACACGTGGCCGGCCGCGCTGCAGGGCAGGAACACGCAGGTGGACCCCATGACCCTCGAGGGCATGCAGAAGAAGATCATGCTCGAGAGGTTTCAGAGTGAGGTGCGTGCACATTGATCAAGCGCATCCTGCTGCCGTACAGCAGATAGATGCTGCTGCTTAGTGGATGTCCTTGGTAGCAAGCACACTTGGTAATCCTTTTGGTACAGTAATCACTTGCTCCCGAACAGCCGGCCGCACGTTTCAACTGAGCGCCGGAGCGCGACTCATGCCCTGGGTCCCCCCGCGTTTCTCGGCGCCCCCTATGTAGCGATTCTCGCACCCTCACCGCTCGATGCCGCTGCACACTCTATTCCTTTTTCCCGACTCGCCTTTGCTTGTTGTTTTTGACTCAGAACCCTGGATTCGACTTCTCTGGGGCAGAGTTTAACGGCCAGGTGCCCGATGCCCGATCTTTCATGGGAGGAGTCAAGTACACATGACGCCGGCTTGTTGCCAGTCATGTGCATACCTCATCGGAGATCTGTGTCAACAGAGATCGATAGGTCACTAGAAAACGCTACCGAAGTGATGTTGAAAGGGGAAGGCAGAGCAGCAGCAGAAAGGTAGCCATCTACGACCGTACGCTTGAGGTGCTGTGTTGGTGGTGGTGCAATGCACAACATAGCATAGCAGAACGGAGTGCGGAGTGAAAAGGAAAGGAACCCTGGTTGCTTGTTGTGCACCGGCAGCAGCAAAGCCTTCTTGAACGACCATGGCCCTTTTGGCTTCGTTTGTGCGTGACGGGTGTGAGGTCCGAGCTGATGGGAGCACATAGCTAAATCACGAGTGTCAAACCCTTCGTTGTGCCATTGACATGGTGCGTTCATCTGATGATGTGTAGGGGGTGTAGGGGTTTCAAGCCAAGTGCAATGTTGTGCGCCGCTCTTGTCCGGCCGAGCCCAAGAGAAGGCAGAGAGACCGGGGGCATCTCTCAACAGCAACGAGCGATACCGTTGCACAACAGCTTACACTCCGTAGCTACTGCTGTTTGAAGGGAAGCCTGCCCTAGTCTCGTTCAACGTGTTACCATTCATTGTATTCCTTCGTGAATTGACCGATGAATCCCCCACACGCCGGCAGTTGCACAGCGGTGGCGAAGCAGAGGCATTGTTTTTGGCCTGCAGTACCGCTGTTTGCCGGTGGCAGAAGGGCCTGAGTCTCTTTTCAGAGGGAAACCCACATGCCTCTCCCACATAGGATCTGGCGCGGGTGAGGGAAGGGAACCCACCGGTTGTGAATGGTTGGCACCATGTGTTCCCAGGACTAGGTTACTGCTGGAACAAAATGAAAGCAGTTCTTTTGTTCTTTGCTCCAACTAGCATCACTGATAACTCAGTGTTAGGCTTACACAAACTCAAAATAAGCCAAGTCTCCAGTTGGTTTCAATCCACCTACTGAAAAGGCCTTACCACATCCCTTTCGACCGAGGTTAGATTTCGAATGGGTGGTCTTTCTGTGAGGTTATGTTTACTTTGTAATAATGAAACCAGTTCGTCCGTGGCATTTTCCGCTGTGGCGCGACTCCGGGCGGTGGAACGTCTACAAATAGAGTGCATGGGGTTGTGACGTCCAGAGTAGGTAGAGGTGATCACACGACAACAGCGATGTGTGCGAGTGTTGCGGATCTCTCCGATGGTTGGTTGGTGATGGGTGATGGATCTTTGGTCGGATCTTGCCTTTATTTACCATGTGACATGATTATGTCATCCCCCTCGAAATAATTCTTTGGTTTGCTCTCCAGGGAGGGGCAAAAGCGGCACAAAGTGTGTGGGTCATATCTATGGGTCACATCCCACCAGGCTGTAGGAATCGCATGCATGTCTGCCTTCCACTCCCGTCGCCAGACAGTCTAGGATACATCTTCACCAAGTCTCACAAACAGCGGCACACAAGCAACGGTCTGCGGTTCGATGTTCGATGCAATTTAGGGGTTGCGCGGCTGAGAAGCACACCCCCACCATATTTTGGAGGTAAACTCGTTGATGTACATGGTTGTGCGCACAGCAGATGTGTTGTGCAGCAGCATAGTTGGTTAAGTTTCTTCACCGTTGCTCCGTTGCACACAACTACCGCCTGCTGTACAGCCGGCACTCGCTCACGTTCCGGAAGTCATCCGCTGTGGCTTGCGCCGTCCGTGCTACGTGGATAGAGAAGCAAAGCCGCTGCCCGTGTGTGCGGTTGTGGAGCATTTCGGGGCAACTACCAACAACTCGGGAAAAAACGAGAGAGCGGGGAGCGGGGGCATCTCCAAACAAACAGCCGCTACAAGCGGGGGTGGGCAGCCGTGCGCAAAGGAGGAGAGGGAGAGAGAGAACGAGAGATCCGTTCCTTTCTGCGGCAGGGCGGCCGGAGGAACCTGTCCATAGGGAGCCATGTCTCGGTTCGTGGACTTGCTCGTGTTCCCAGCGCCCCTGGAGCATGAGTTTTCTGGCCACGAGAAGGTTCGTCAAATCGCTACGACATAATTTTGGCGTTATGCAAGCATGTCTTGATCGCGCAGTGCGCTTTCGTTGATGGGGGAGGGTTGGGGGGCTGGTGTGTCTGGGAGCACCTGCTGCTGTGCCGTTCCCACGCCGCTGCATTTCTGTGGTTCTTTGGGCCGTGGATGGGAGGCTGTCTTTTTATTGGCTTGAGCGGGGAGAAACAGCAGCAGCAGGAATGAAAAGCGCGCACTTGGTGTTTTCGAGCACCCCATAACATTTTTTGACATTGACTCTCGACTCTCTCCTGTTTTGACGGCGCCGCACCGCGTTTGTCGGCTGTACTGGTGGTAGGTTCTTCTGCGTTCTGCTACACGAAGTTACTTGTTGCCGAAAGCAGTGGCCTCTTTTGCTGTCATTGACTGCACGGCCATCGATGCACCGCCGTGCCTGCGTCGATGGGAAGGAGTTGGGGTCGGCGCGCTCGCTTGCCTTTGTCCCGACGAGGTAGAGAGCAGAGGTGTAGTCTATGGGCCACAGCGTAAACAAAACGCATGTGACCGCCGCTTCGTCAGCAGTCCGCATATATGTGCAGAACTGGAACAAACAAGAGTTGTTCTTTTTTTGAATTCATGTTGATTGCAGTAACGAAACGCGTTGCTCCTCCACGAGGTGCTGCTGTATCTGTCGGCACCTGCTGTTGTTTGTCTCTGGAGAGTGCGGCGGGCAGAAAACAGTACCTTTTGTTTCCCCTCGCTCGCAATTTGTCACACAACTTCAATCCCCGCGTGGTGGCAATCGAGCCGTCCTGCGCAACCACAGCCTGTTGGAATGCACGTAGTGAAGACCGCCGTAGAGAGAGACACGGGCGTCATGAGGCCGTGATACCGCGCTTAAGTTAGTTCAATTCAATATATGCATAGCTTGTAGTGGATTGCAGTTGTCGTCCTTTGCTTTGCCTTCGGAGGAAAAGCCGAAAAATCGCGGAGAACGCCACAGATGGTTCTGCTGCTGGCTGGATGAGCAACAAAGCCAGCAAGTGACACAACACACACCTATCTATGAAGAATCTGTTTTGTTGTTGGGCCATTTGGATTCTGCGCTCTTCGTTCGCGACTTGGTCTCTCGTTGTGCAACCGTCGTGGTGCCGCCTCAGTCGTGAGGCTTGAGGCTTATTTTCTGATGTGTGCCTGGAGAGAAAGCTCCTCGTCGAACGTGTCAGTACGTCTACACAGCAGCAAGCACATAATTTTGCTTCCGTAGATAAGTTGTATTCACAGCAGTATTAGTACTAGCAGAATTGGATAAGAGGACTGCTGTGTTCGCCGGCTGCTATTCACGATAGAGCAAGTAGGTACATAGTATACCATCGACGCATCATCGCCGTGCAGCACCTGCCGCATGCTGGCCTAGTCAGTGGAGGTGTGGTGCGCCCACGTGCCGTTACAGAAAAAGAGGAAGGATGCGAGAGCTTGTGTTGCCGGTGTGACTCGTTTTCAGAGTTGGCCCTTTCGGGCGAGAGAGTTTACCTAGAGTTTCCTCCAGTTTGTACGCAATATCTGTTCTTGTTCGTGGCTGCGGCTGTTGACTCTCTCATTTCACTCCTATGACGACTTGACGATGAATTGGATGTCTGCTGACTCGTCGGGTAGTCTACAAGTAATCCCTTCCTTCGTAAAAGTAGGTGCTCTCATATTGTACGTATGCATGCACTGCTGTGCTGAAAGCGAAACGGCGGAGTACATGCTGTGAGTGCACATCGCATCGTCGACAACACGCGTCCAAGTGCAAAACCTCGTGTGTGTGCGTCTTCGCCGACAACCATCGTGCCACGACATACTTCTAATAACTTAGTGGATGGTCGCTTATGCACCCTATAACAACGTGCCGCAGGAGTTTTCGCGGCTGCCACTCTGTCCCAATTATTATTCTACTCCGGCAGGCTACGCGGAACGAGCGGAATGTTGGGACTGGGCCAGTACGTTTGGTTGTTCTTAATCTTTCTTTTTTGCAGGTCGTACGGCCTCGCTTGCATCTCTTGCCCTGTGTCTCTGTTGCTTTCTCTCTCACGCAATGTTGGTTGTTTTTTATTGCGACGGGTTGATTTTTTCGTCGAGTGATGTACGAGTGTGGCGTGCACAGCAGTAGCAGCAGTGGTATTCTGCCGGGGCTTCACACACCGAGAGCACACGTTTATAGCAAAACCCATCCTCTGCGCCCTTATTCATCTGCTTGCAACACAATCAAGTAATTGTCTCGACCCACCGCCCCTTTTTTTCGTCTCTTCTTTTTCCAATGAATGTTCTCGTGCTTGCAGACGAAGATTAAGGAGGCGTTTGCCGCCTTCGATACCAACCAGAGCGGCGACATCAGTATGCAGGAGCTCCGGGCGCTTTTGGGGCAATTGGGGGAAATGCCGTCCGAGAAGCTTCTGCAGGTGGGCCAGGTTGTCCGATACACTGTTCATTGGGTTTGGTTTGGGGTCGGCTGACCGCTTCTGGTCGGCAGGCAGACTGGGTGGCTTGGGCCTTCACGTCTGTATCCACGGTCAGTGGCCGGCCAATTTATGTTGTGTTTATGTTTATGTTTATGTTTATGTTTATGTTGTGTTTGTGTTTATGTTTATGTTTATGTTTATGTTTATGTTTATGTTGGTGGCCCGTTCGGTTGTTGCGGAAGCACCAGGCGCTTTGGTGGGTCTTGTCGTTCGGTTGGGCTGGGCTGATGGTGGAGGTTTACGAGGCGGCGTACGTCCCGCCCCGTCTGGCCGGAGAACAGTAGATGTTGATAGATAGATCGTGCTTTCGGTTACTTCAGTTGTACGGCCAGCTTCTTACCCCCGTGCCATTCCTTTGGTAGATTGCGCCGAACCGGCGATCGGCCACTGTGGTGAGGTGTACTCGCGTTGTCCTTGTCGACTCGTCGACAGTCAGTTCGATGATCTACCCACCGGTTGTACCACAAACACACGCACATGTTCCCACATTGATCGGTGTCGCGCGTGCCATGTTTGTCTTTTACGAATGTGCAGGAATCCATGAGGGAGGCAGACACGGACAACAACGGCTCCGTATCTTTCGGGGAACTCGCCTCGCTGATGCACAAGCTCAAGAAGGATCCCAACTCGAACTCGGCCTTCGTGCGCAAGATCCACAAGGCTCCTGCCCAGGTGAGGAAGGCCGAGGTTTTTTGTTTATGAGAGGAGTCGGCGTTGCTCATCTTGCTGTGATCGTTGGCGATGCTCAAGAAGCATTGCAGCAGCCCGCGCGTTGGGGTCAAGGGGGGGTCATTGCTGGCCCACTCCGGGGGGTGTGGAGTGTTGTGTTTTTTCTGCTGACGGTATATGGTTGCCTTTTTTCGCGCCACTGGCTCTCTCTGCCGCATGTTCTGCAGCTGTGGTGTTGTGTCCTCCTTGGAGTCAAACGGTGCTCGCTCTTTTCGTATTGTTTCTCGCTCACACCAAGGGTCATTCTCTTTCCGCGAGCCTCCGAATGGCTGAGAGAGAACGCAGCATGCTGCGCTCGCTGCCCCCCATCACCTCCTACGGTACGTCTTTGCTTGAACATTATTGATTTCTCTTGATGTGTGTCTTGACGTACAGCACTCTGGGGGTATGGCGTACCACTCCTACTCGGACGACGAGCGGATGGCCTTTACGGAGCACATCAACAACTGTCTCGCATCCGATCCTGTGAGTGCCGAAAGCAGCAGGAAGAAAGAGAGGAGGTGAACGAGAGATGGGGGGTTAGGAGAGACGATATTTTTTCTTGTTCTCCCTCGTCTGTTTTTTGTACGGTACCGCTGCTGCTGTTGGTGTTTTGTGTTGAGGTTTTTCGCCCTTTTGCCTCCACGACCGCGTGTGGGTCTCTTCCGTATTTATGAGTATGATCCAGTCCGGTATCCACCATACGTACGTTCCGCGGAAGGATAACCACCTTGCACGGGTTACCGTTCTGGGGGGTCTCATTTGGTATAGATTCAATCATCGGAGCTTCTATGGGAAGGAAGGCGACAAACCCTTTTCGTTTGTGTGAGGACTGGTCTGGTCTGCTGTTGGCTGGTTGGTTTGAAGCCGAACGTCTCCATGCTGGGGAACGCGAAGGGAGGTCGGCGGCGGGATGGGTGTTGGTGGAAGTATTGATGGAAGTGCGAAGGCAGAACAAGAACCGGTGTCCCAGGCGACGTCTTATCTTCGGACACCAGGACTTTCCACTTGCCGGCCAGGGAGAGAGAAAATGAAACTCCCACATATAGCGGGTACAAGTATTCGAAAAAATGGAAGGCTAGACTGGTCACCTCTTCATTGTTGGTGGTTTGTTCGTTGTTGGTGTGCCGGCTGGCTCACGGGCTCACGTTCCCGAGAAGGTGTCAGTCACACTACTGCTACTCTACTGTTGCACTGGCATTGCGATTGTCGGGTCGTTGTCACGAAGTAGAGGAAAACTCCTGGCTTTCTCCTTTTTCGCGGTGTGTCACGCGACGAAGGAGCTACTGGCGAACGAAAACCAGTTTAGCATCAGCATAAGCGTGGAACTGCCGCGTGGTTCGTGTAGTGTGGAGGTATAGTCTAGAGGACTCTGACGAGTATGACCAGGGGAGGAAGAAGACAAGCGACGCTATTGAGCGATGTCTTGAAAGGTCCATAGTCATTAGACGTTCATGTGTTCATGTGTTTTGTTGTTCCAGGTGGTTGGACCGCGGCTGCCGATGGACCCGCTCTCCGAAGACCTCTTCACACAGACGTCGGACGGGCTCATCCTGTGCAAGCTCATCAACCTCGCTGAATTCGACACAATCGACGCCAGGTCAGCGAGTACTAGTATTGTAGTCACATGGTCGGGGGTCAATTCTCCATACAGCCATCCAAAGGAGATATCTTGTTTTATTTCAAGAGGTCCCGTGGATGATGACAGTAGTAGCAGGGAGGAGGGGGCCAAGGGCCTGTGGTCTCCGCGGTATCGACCCCCCGCCAACCCGCCAACCCCGCCGCGACAAGCGTTTTTGTTCGGAGATTTATCATGCGTTCTTTTTTCCATGCTGGGTTTTCTGTGGCTTTTTATGGGTTTGGCCGGGTTTTCGGTGGTTGCGAGCGAGGGGGGAGCAATGCGGTGTGTGTGGTGTCACCGTGGCACGGGACCACCCGTTTCATGTATCTTTTGGACGACATGCTAAGGTGTGCGGCGGCGGAGGGACGACTCTCCATTCCCCCGGTGCCCCGACAAATGCCTACGGTTTCTAACGGCATCAGTTTGGTCAAACCAGCTGACTTGGCAAGCAGTCAGGCGCCTAAGGCGAAACAGACAGAAACAACCACCTGTTTTCTTTTTATTCGAGGCTGTCGTGTGTGTTCATTCGCTTCATTCGCTTGGGAGGCGTCACTTGCCTGTATCCAATTCCAATGCGAGGGGCAATAGAGGTACGTTTGGTGTTGTCACGTCACGCTATGACCCCTGTTATGAACCTGAATGGTGAATTCTCCGGATCAGCTATAGAGGACACGAAAGGTGCTCAGGTGGCATGTCTTTCTTGTCGGGGGGGAGAAACAAACATTTTGAAGACAAATACGTTATTTTGGTTGAGAGTAGACCGTTGGACGGAACCATATCAGTAACATGCCAACATGGCTATTCCTGAAACACACGGAGCACGCGAGGCTGCGTTGGTCTTGTCGTTCTTGACTACTGTTGTGATATTGTGGTTATTGACTAATGTGATGTAACTAACATGGCGTTTCCTGACCCACACGGTGCTGCGTTGATGTTGTCGGTCTTGATTACCGTGACACACGCGAACGATTGTCTATGGCTATGGGATGGTATGGGGGGGTTACGTCGGGCATGAACATGAACATGAAGGGCGATGAACGTCGTATCGGACAAGAGGCCAAAGCTATCCATATTCCAGAAGATCGAGAACATGAACCTGGCGCTCAACGCCGCCAGGGGCATCGGCTGCGTGGTGACCAACGTCAATGCCAAGGTGCGTGCGCCATGGACCATGGGGGTGTCGCAAATGAGACACGATGAGAAAGTGTGTGTGCGTGTGTTGTGTTCGGCGTGCCAAGAGGGTATAATCGAAGAGCACGAATGATTATTTCGGGAGGTGTTTCTCTTCGTTTTGGTTTTGGGGAGGACATACAGCGTTGTCGGGCCGCTCGCCGATCCTTCCGTTCACAGGACTGCAAGATAGGGTGTCCGCTCGTTCACAAAAACGGTAGGACTTCCTGCCCTGTACGTGGACTGGCAGTAGTAGTAGGAGTGCGTGTGGCTGGAGGGGGAAATGACCGACCTCTGCCTTGAGCGTTTTTGTTGCGGTTTAGCCGCAGGCTGATGATCCCCATGTTTTGTGTTCGTGGGTCGACATTGCCACGTTTTCTTTGGGGTAGGGGTCGTGACGGTGTGAGCGCTGACTTGCTTTCTTCTGGAGACTCCCAGCCCTTGGTATCCACGTGACCGCTGCTTTTGTCAAAGGCGTTTTAGCAGATCCCTCTCATTTTCTTCCTTTCTCTCCGACCGACAACCGAGCTCACCCTGAAGCTGACCCAGTCGTCGCCCTTGTGGGCTTCGCATTTTCATGCCTTTTCTCCTGCTGGCATGAAAATGCGAAGCCCACAAGGGCGACGACTGGGTCAGCTTCAGGGTGAGCTCGGTTGTCGGTCGGAGAGAAAGGATAAAAATGATAAGGGATCTGCTTCAGCTAATTCACTCTGAGTTGTTTTCGTGTGTGCGTCTCTCTCGCTCGCTCTCTCGCGCTATCTCTCACCCTCTGTTCAATGTTCTTGAACTGGACTGCTAACTTCGTTGTTGGGGTTGACGGTGGTGTGGCCTGCATGTGACTACACGACTACACAGGACATCATCGACGGCAACTCTATTCTCATCCTGGGGCTGGTCTGGCAGATCATCCGGATACAGCTGCTGTCTTCCATCAGGTATTCACAAGATTCTGTACCAATAGAGATTGAGGCAGAGCACTCAAGGTACACTGTTCTTGCCATGATTGCAAGAGCCAGTCCTTTCGGTCGGATTTTTGTGGTCTCCCTCCATGCCCGCGTAAGCGGTGAGGTCAAGCAGCAAACTGTCGTGAACGTGTAACAAGCAGAGTGTAGCGGCTGCTGGCGGTGTTGGGTGTGTTGTTTGGTTACTTCTCTTTCCCTGTCTTTCTCTCTCTACGGTTAGTATAGCACACACAAGGCTTCCTTGCGTATGTCGGTAGCTTCACTTCCTGCTTCTCTCCCTTTCTCTCCGTCTCTCTGCCTTGTCTAACACATATGATACACACGCTCACTACTGTCCTTGCATGGTTTTGTGTTTATTTTGTGATGTAGCTTGACGTCCTGCCCGGAGCTGGTTTGCCTTCTGGAGGAGGGAGAGGAGCTCGACGGGCTGTTGGCCTTGCAGCCCGAGGCGATCTTGCTGCGCTGGTTCAACTACCACCTCGAGAGGGTGAGTCTTGCCCCTGCTCTTGTTGTGCTGGTGCTGGTGCTGTTATACTGCTGTACTGCCGTAGTACAGTAGTTCTCTGCATCGCAGGAAGGTGGGTTGGCCGCACTGCTACGTCCACCTGTGGCACAGGCTGGTCTCTGCTGCTGTGTCTGTGTCGTGGCATAGCTGGCGCAACAACTGCCAACGTCAGGTGCGCGTCGGTGGTGTTTCTGCCTGCCGCACATAGTCTCTCCGTCGGTGTAGCAGGTGTTGGCATATGTGGTCTGTGTGAGCTGCGCGTTAGGTGGTCGTGTAACGTTGGATGACATTGCGGAGTTGCGTGCCCGGCATGTCTGTCTATACCAACGAAAGCAGCGTTGCCTGAACCTGTCATGCGTTCGTGGCGGACTATTGTAGTGCCCTCCCCTCCCTACCTATCACCACATGAGCTTGTCTGGTCTGAGTTGACGTGATGCAAGACACTTGAGATCTCTCGAGCAACGAGGCGATCGCACGGCCGTTTTCCTTGGGGTGCTCCTCGTGCTGCCGCTTTTTGCTGGGTGGCCTAGCATGACAATAAGAGTTTTGTAAGGTTAGCCTCTAGGGGCATGCACATCGCTAATATGTTTGTTGTTCATCTGCTTGCGCTTTCAGCGCCGAAGAACTGACGGCATGGTGTTGTCTGCTGCGGTTTACTTTTGTCTCTTGCGACACGGTTTACCATACCACCGCTCTTAGTGTCACTGCGTCACTGGTCGTTCCAGCCTATGAGGCGTCCGCGTCAGTTGGAACGAAGATGGGTGCTATTGTAGAAGGAACTTAAGCAGAGGTCGGAACTGTTTGGAATGTAACCCACAGCGACGACAACGTCGACAGTAACAAGAACGACACCCGCGTGCCCTATTTTGCAATGGCCTCATCGAGCACGCTTGTCTGCTCTTTGTTTGCAACTTTCGCCCTCTTGGTTCTTTCGATAAAGTCTTCTTCGACGAAGCGAGTAAAGAACTTCGGGAACGACTTGAGGGACGGCGAGGCCCTCTCCGTTCTGCTGACACAGCTAGACCCCACCGTCTGCCAACCCTGCAACGAGCCGCCTGGCTCCGAGGCCCGCGCAAGGCATATCATCAGCAACGCGAAGGTGCGCATACGATGCTGGTTGCTGCTGTCGGCGGTTGTTGCTGTCTCGCTGCCGTGTTGGTGTCGTACGTGAAGTGAGGCGTGGCGTTGTTCCATTCGTTCTATTCATGTGCCATTGAAGCGAAGTTGGTGCTTCAAGTGTGGTGTTACCCTGGGTTTGGTGTGGCGTTCTATTCGTGTCTCGTTGGTCACACCTGCTTGCGGCGCGTCGTTTCGGCATTTGTGGTTGTGTTGTTTGCCCGTCTAATTGCAGGCGATGGGCGCGGAAACGTTTATCCAGCCGGCGGACATCATCAACGCCAACAAGAAGCTGCTCCTGGCCTTCTGTGCGCAGCTCTTCAACACCAACCCCAACCTCACCGTGGAGGTATGATGGGATATCTAATGCCATTGCCATTGCCATTGCAATTGCCATTGCAATTGCCATCGTCATCGTCACGCGTGGGAGCAAGGGGCTTTACGATTCACCATCCACCGCAACATACCTCCGGACCATTACTAAAAAGCAGACGCCGGCCTTCCTGCAGCTATGTAGACATGATACGAATTTTTTGTTTTATTTTTGTTCTTTTTATTTTTTTTCGTCACATCTATTCTGGGCGCTAGCATAGTCTACACCTTTCAGTATATGTTTCACTCACCGGCGGGTGGGCACACAGGAGGAAGGTGCACTGTCGACAGCGTTTGTTTACCTCCGCCTTTCCTCATGCGGTGCTTTGTCTTGTTTTGTTTTCGCGAGAAGGGCTCACTCTCAGCAGCCCCCTTACCTCCCTCTTTGTTCTGTTCATGTGTACTCACCCTCACCACCGAGAGGTGTGCACTAAACACTACACTAGTTGCGAGTTTTTCACTCTAAGTGAGACAGGTTGAAGCCGAAACCTAGAGCCAGATGGTGTCGCGAGGTTCGAGCTGCACCACTCAAACCATTATTGGTTGACGGGCCTACAGTACCGCTGTCTTTGTTCCACCGAATGTGTTTGATGTTTGATACTTGGCGTGGCAGTATATGTACCACTTGATACATGCGCATCTGCTTCCTACCTTTGTTGTGCCACACACACACACCCTTTCTTTCTTTTTTCTTTTTTTTTTTCGGTTTCTTGGGTTATTATATTTCGTTGCGGTGGCGTCATCGCTCCATTGCAGCAAGAGGTGATGGAGCAGTTCACCGAGGACTTCGCCAACCTAGAGGACGATGACGAGGGTGAGGAAACCTACAGATGCACACAGTACCTCGCTTGAAAGCTAGATTGATCCAATGATTGGCTCTCGGGGATTCCCGGAATTGTACAGTAGGGCTCAACGTCTTGCGATAGGCAGGCTTTTCGTTCTCGTCCTGTCTCAGTAGTATTGGTTGTTGTTGTTGTTGTTGTTGTTGTTTCTCATATTAGCTCTATAGTCGACGAAAAATGGGGAGCCCGTGGTCTCAAAACCCGGCACATACGACGCCGCGGCGAAACAAAACAAAAAATAGGGTACAAACCACTCGGAAAAAGAAAACGAAATGATGGAAAGAAAAGAACAGGTATCGCACCGACCGTTCGAGAAAAGAGCCTCCGGAAACCGATCAAAATAAAACAAAAACAAGAATAGTGTGTCGTCTTGTTTGCCGGCGTCTCATCGCCGATCTGCTTTGAGCGACTCGAGCAAATCGTGTTTTTTTTCTTCTCTCCGCCGAGATTGGTGTAGGATAATGATTTTCACGATGTGTTGCTGTTACGATCGCTTCATGTTGTGCGTTGAATTGATGCACGGCGCACGGGATGCTCGCGTCAAGTCGGTCGTATGATGTGCGTGTACGGCACACGCGATGCTCTTGTCTCGTCGACTAAATGACGGTTTTTGTTGTTGGCGTGGCACGTGATGGGATGGGTGATGGATGGATGGATGGATGGATCAATCGGCGCAGGCGACACACGAGAGGAGAAGGTCTTCCGCATGTGGATCAACAGCCTGGCCATCGACAACGGAGACCTGTACATTAACAACCTCTTCGCCGACGTGCAGAACGGCTCCGCCATCCTCAAGGTGCGCGTTGGCTGGTGGCTTGTGGGGGCGGTCGTGACGATCAAGTTGTGTCGTGCTGATGCTTGCTTGCTTGCTTGCTGAGGGTTTGTCATCTCTCTGTATGGTAAGGTTATTTCTCTCTCTATCAAACGTTCGCTGTCCTTCTTCCTCTGGTTCTGGCTCTGGCTCTACTTCGTCTGCCCCCTCTTGTCGGCATCTCAGCTTTTGGTTTTCCTCGTCGTTTGGATCTC